CCAAGCCATCCCCCACTGGGCTGCTTCTGCGTCCCCACCGGCCACCCGAGCAGAGAGCTGGGGCCACACCGAAGCTACCTCCGCTGGACTCTTCCTCTCCATGGGGGCCGATGGGCGGCCCAGCGACGTCCCCTCTGGATGCCACGGAAGCAAACACCTGGGGCCACGTTCAAGTGCCTTTGGTCCCTCCTTCCTTCTTCAGCATGGGGCTCTTTCTCAACACTGAATTGTTGACAGTGCCAACCAGAATTTCAAACTGTGGTCCTCCAGCGCCTCCCTGGAGACCCCAGGTGAGCGAGTGGGGACGATGGGACTTTTGTCGATCCTCGAAGTTGAATTTTCAACTCGCCAATTGGGAATTACAAGAGGGAAACTTTAAAAAAAAACAAAAACACCTTTCTAAATGAAATTTTTTTTGTAGTTACTGTATATGTACCGAGAAAGCTAATAACTTAGGGTTTGGTTGTGTTTTTTGGGGGGGGGGGAGTTTTGTGTTTTCTGGAATGATTTGTTAATGTTTCTAACTTGACCAAAGTTTGCAGCTTATACCTCAACAGAACAGGGATATTTTAAATCACATAACTGCAGACAAACTGGAGCGATATTGTTTTAAAAGTTTCTCTTTTTTTCCTTATTATTAGGTGGTTAATGTATTAGGAATAAACGACGAAATCCTGTGTAGGCTTTTTCTATGAAGTTCAATATTCTCTGTCCAGGTTTTAGATTCTCAGAATAAATGCCTTTTACAGATGAATTTGGTTGCGTCTTCTGTTTGCAAAGTGCTTTGTAGCCCACCGGGCACTTTTATAGCTAGTAACACATTTTCTCCTTACAAAAACCCCGGGAGTCAGACTAGGCAGGTGGCATCATTCCCACTTTGCAGATGAGAAAACTGAGGCCCACAAGGTCCATGTGACGTGCAGCAGTCCATAGGGGCCAAACCAGGCCTTCTAGCTTGGAGCCAGACGTCACTTAGTGTCACCAAGGTGGGTGGCACTGTCCCCATTTACATTAGAAGAAATGGAGGCTGTTGTGGTTCCCCCACTAGGAGACTGTCTCTGCCTTGAGTGGGTGTCAGCAGCCTGAATCATCAACTAAGGAGCTGCTTGACCCCAGGGGGCCCTCCGCAGGCCTGGGGAGACGGGGGTACATGGGGGTGTGGAGTCTGGTGACCTGAAATGCTGTTTCCAGGAGGAGTCAGAGACCAAGGATGAGGCAAGGTTTTTTTGTTTTTATTTTTTAAATTAATTTTTCTTGGAGTATACTTGCTTTACAATGGTGTGTTAGCCTCCACTGCACACAAAATGAATCAGCCACACATACAGATAGCCCCTCCCTTTTGGATTTCCCTCCCATTTACCACAGTGCATTAGGAAGAGTTCCCTGTGCTATATAGCATGTTCCCATCATTTGTCTATTTTATACATAGTATCAATAGTGTATATGTGTCAATCCCAGTCTCCCAGTTCATCCCACCCCACCCCCTTCCCCCTTGGTATCCGTACATTTGTTCTCTACATCTGTGTCTCCATTTCTGCTTTGCAAATAAGATCATCTGTACCTTTTTATAGATTCCACATATGTGCGTTATTATACGATATTTGCTTTTCTCTTTCTGACTTACTTCACTCTGTATGACATTCTCTAGGTCCATCCACATCTCTACAAATGACCCAATTTCATTCCTTTTTATGGCTGAGTAATATTCCATTGTATATATGTACCACATCTTTATCCATTCCTCTGTTGATGGACATATAGGTTGTTTCCATGCCCTGGCTATTGTAAATAGTGCTGCAATGAACATTGGGGTGCGTGTGTTTTTTTGAATTATGGTTTTCTCAGGGTATATGCCCAGTAGTGGGATTGCTGGATCATATGGTAGTTCTATTTTTAGTGTTTTAAGGAACCTCCATACTGTTCTCCATAGTTGCTGTATCAATTTACATTCCCACCACCAGTACAAGAGGGTTCCCTTTTCTCCACACCCTCTCTAGCATTTATATGTAGATTTTTTGATGATGGCCATTCTGACTGGTGTGAGGTGATACCTCATTGTGGTTTTGATTTGCATTTCTCTAATAGTTAGTGCTGTTGAGCAGCTTTTCTGTGCCTCTTGGCCATCTGTATGTCTTCTTTGGAGAAATGTCTATTTAGGTCTTCTGCTCATTTTTTGATTGGGTTGTTTGTTTTTTTTGTTATTGAGCTGTATGAGCTGCTTATATATTTTGGAGATTAATCCTTTGTCCGTTGCTTTGTTTGCAAATATTTTCTCCCATTCTGAGGGTTGTCTTTTTGTCTCATTTATGGCTTTTTTTTGGTTTTTGTTTGTTTTTTTGTTTGTCTTGTTTCTTTCATTCTTTTTTTTTTGGCCATGCTGCACGGTTTGGCTTGCAGCATCTTAGTTCCCTGACCAGGCATCAAACTCATGCCCCCTGCAATAGAAGTGTGAAGTCCTAACCACTGGACCACCAGGGAATTCCCCAAAGATGAGGCAACTCCAGGGAAGATGATAGTGCTGAGTTCTGCAGATGCCATTACTCACACCAACCTATCACTGGCACCTTGTACAGATGGTTAGACAATGACGTGGGCAGATCTGATTTAAGAAACAGGGACTTCCCTGGCGGTCCGGTGGTTGGGACTTAGCCTTCCAGTGCAGGGGACGCGGGTTTGGTCCCTGGTCGGGGAACTAAGATGCCGCTTGCCTCATGGCCAAAAAACCAAAACATAAAACAGAAGTAATATTGTAGTGAATTCAGTAAAGACTTTAAAAATGGTCCACGTCAAAAAAAAATCTTAAACAAAAACAATAAAGCTCTGCCTCTTTTGGACCTTCAAATATGTCAAGTGTGTCCTTGAAAACATTATGCTAAGTGAAAGAGGGCAATCACAAAAGATCGTATATGATATGATGTCATTCACATGAAATGCTCAACACAGGGATCTGTAGGGACAGAAAGCAGATTAGTGTAGCGATGCTTAGCCAGTAGGGAGGGAGAGGGAGTGAGAGCTAGAGGGTGTGGGGTTCTTTTTGGGGAGATGAAAATGTTCTAAATTTGGTGACGATTGCACATACCTGTGGATGTACTAAAATCCTTTGAACTGTACAGTATATGAGTTATATCTCCAAAAAAAAAAAATCAAAGTGTGAACATGAAATAATAGGAAAGATGCCCAGCTATGAGAATCAGAGGAAACTCCATAAATGTCCCCCAAGTGGGCCGCACACAGGGGCAGAACACCCTGAGGTGCATTAATTGTGGAGATTGTGGAATTTTTTTGTTTCTCACATAAAAGTTAAGAACAGTGTCATTTTTAAAAATGAGCAAACCCCAGAAAAGTGTATGTGCACTGCTATGCAGAAATAATCACAATGTAAGGTGTATTCATTTCCTGGTAGACTTTTGGTAGTTTTAATTTTTTTAAAGCAGTTTTATTGAGATATATTGCACATGCCATAACACCCACTTAAAGTATACAGTTCAGTGGGTTTTAATATATTTGCACAGTTGTGCAATCATCACCTCTGTCTAGTTCCAGAATTTCATCCCCCCTCAAAAGAAGCCCAATCCCTGTTAGCAGTCACTTCCCAACCCACCCCAGCCGATGGCAACCATTAGCCTACTTTCTGTCTGTGGATTTGCCTGTTCTGGATGTTTCATATAAATAAATTCATACAACACATAGGTCTTTTGTGTCTGGCTTCTCTCACTGACCCTGGTGTTTTCAAGGTCCATCCAACGTTGTAGCAAGTGTCAGCACTTCACTTCTTTTTATGGCTGAGTAATATTCCAGGGTGTGGATGGACCACCTTTTAAAATCTACCTGGTTGTTTTTTTTTTCTTAATGTAAAACTTCCTTTTCTCCCTCCACCCCACGTTATAAAATTAATACATAATCCCTTCGAACATTTGGAAACTGAATATATGAAGAAAAAGCCAAAGCACATAACCCTGCCCCCGAGAGGGTTAATATTTTTAGGCTTTATTTATACATGTGTGTTGGTACTGCAGCATTCAACCTCAGAACAACTGAGGCATAGACAAGTTAAGTGGCTTACTCGAGGACATGGCAAAGCCATGGTACATATTTGTTTACAGATGTTTCTCCATGTATTTATTACTTTTAAAATATTTATTTATTTGGTTGCGTGGGGTCTTAGTTGCACCAGGCGGGCTCCTTAGTTGTGGCATGCGAACTCTCAGCTGCAGCATGCATGTGGGATCTAGTTCCCTGACCAGGGA